GGTTTTGAGCATTGTTTTGGATGTTTTGGGGTTCCCGAACTGTTTTGGGTTAATATGGAGGATTCTAAATATTATTTCATGTTGTATTAAAACCCTATATTGCATAATTAATATCTATATACTAATGGATTGAACAGTATGGAAGTTTAAACAATTTTGTATACTGTTAACGGATATAAATGATTTAATTGCTTAGTCTTATTTTAGCAATTTAAATGACTGGAACATGATTTTTAAATCTTGTATTGGATGCATAATATGGTCAAATGCATATTAGAATTTATTTATGCTTATTTTGGAGTGTGATTGATGAACTATTTATTCTTGTTTTATTAATTATATAGATTTTGTGGATTGTATGCACCGGTATGGGACGGTGGCATACTAGGGATGGATTAGTTCAAAATACTAAGTCCTACCTACTCTGGATAAAGGGAATTGATTAACTATAAGGTTAAATCCTACTTATATGTCGTGTCATGCAACGAACAGTTGAGCGACACTACTTTGGTTGTGGATGGATTATAAATATATATTTATGGTACCACGATATGAGCTTGAGTCTTAGGATCAATGGTGAGGGAGTGTATATGCATTGGGATGCATAATTGGCTATGATGGTTTGAGATGTACCCTGTTAGGTCTAGGTACTCATGCCCACTTTAGGTGCGATTTGCATGTTGCCTACTAGTCAGGTTGAAACCGCCTTGTAGTCTAGTGAGAGTTTCTTAGTATGGATATATATATTTGTGGACTATATAGTTATTGTTGAGTTATCTAGGATGTATCTGCGTATCGGGTCTCTGTTTAGATTGTAGTTAGAATAGAACTTGTTCGTGGGCCTGACCCACTATTATTTTTCTCAGGTGTTCGATAGTTCCAACCGTAGAGCTTGATCGTGCTGAGCAGAAACAGTCACTCATTCCTCCGACTACGTAGGATTTTTACTTATGTTTTAGTTTTGGATTTCCTTTTTAGTTTAGTTATTTATTTTCCAGCTGGAATATTATTAGGGGTCCACTAGATGGATTCCCGAGTTGTAATAATATTGGAAGTTTTGGCAGTATTGGATTTTATAACTTTTAAGGATTATTATTTAGAATTCTTTTAGCTTATTTAATTACTTATTTCTTAATTCTTTTGTATTCTGTGTTCATTTATATACTTAATTGTCTGGTATCCCTCGGATTTGTGCTCGGACTTGATCATCCGTGGCTCTAGAATCGAGGGGTATCACATCTTCTATCTATTGATGCACAGATACATCTTGCTGCTTCTATCTATGGTTTGATGGTTGCATACTACAAGAACAATACCAAGAAGAAGTGTTCTCCATTCCCTATGATTGTCATGGGTTTGTATCAGAAGTTTGAGATCCCACTTCCACCCCGAGCTCGTCATATTGAGATTATGTCTGAGATGGAGGTTAGGGCTTTTAACAAGTCTAAATCCGCCAGAGCTATAGCTAGGAAAGTTAGCTGGGGTTCAGCTGCTTCGTCATTTCTTCCAGAGATTTCTCTAAACGGAACTTCACAACGAAGGATGCTAATCTGCTCTACTCACTGATTCTTCAGAATCAGAAGGCCATGCTTGATGCTATTTGTGATCTACAGGCTGAGATTAAATTTCTTAGAGAGCAGAGGATGGGTAGTACTTCTAAGGATGTCTACAGACCAGGCCCTCCTGATTCGTTACTTGTTGCTGAGGATGATAGAGAGAAGGATGAGACAGATGATACCGAGGATGATGAGGATGGTAGTGACAATGGTGGTGATGATGATGAGGATATACTGACTTCTATTGTTCCTTTTGAGGGCGATGATGCTTGATTTATATCATACATGCATTATATTTTTGTTCAGTTTTTACATTGTCTTAACTTGATATTTTTGGATATTATCATTTGACTGCTGACATGAAATAAACTATTTATCTGTTTCTCTTCTCATTATTTCTTCGCTTTTTTAATTTCTTTGTCAATTTTGTTCCAAAAAAGGGGAGAACAAGGTTACCTTAAGGGGGAGAATTCAAAATTCTGGAAAAAAAAATTAAATAATTTATTCAGGGGGAGTTTTTAACATGTTTTTATAACTTGTTTTATTAAGCTTTCAGTGGTAGTTTTGCTTGATCCATGTGCAGGAAATCAGGTGAAATGTTTGTCCACATGAAGAAGAGAACAGAGAGAAAAAAAAAATTTCTGTGTAATTCCTTAAACAGTTGTAATTTACTTTTCTACTTTGGATAGATTATTAATTTTTTGTAAGGTTTTGTCACGAAATTGCCAAAGAGGGAGATTGTGAGATATTATTTTATAATTGGTAAATTTTAGTAACAAAACCAGTTCTAGTCGAGTTGTAATTTCAGTTACCATATCAGACTTGACATTGACTGCGGAATATGAAAGGTTGTTCAGAAGAGGGAAGTACCGTTGATCATCAAAAATGAAAGAACAACACATTAGGAAATCATTTCCTACTTAGGAAACAAATACTTACAAGGTATATTTTCCAAAATTACCAAAAAAGAAAATCCAAGTTCAAGTTGGATTCTGTCAAGTGAGAACCGGTACCTGGATTTGGGAACCGGTTCAAGAAGATAAGATTCGAGAGAAAACAATTATGTTCTTTGGGAACCGGTACCACATATTGGGAACCGGTTCCAGAAGTCCTGACAGCATCAGGTTTTTCAGTTTCCTTATTCTGTTGGTTTCCTTTTTGATTCCAATTTCCTTCAAAGTCCTATGCAAGAAATTTCCTTTATTTTCAGAAGGAATAAGACTTTACTTACCTCTATGTAAACTTTGTCATACACATATGTTTATTAACGGCTTTTGCACTATCAAGTTATTATTCTTAAAAGCCTTAGAAAGATTTTTGTTTCAGAAATTCTTAAAGAATTTTCTGTTTGTCTTTCTAGAACACACACATACATTCACATAGTGATTTTACAGGTGTGGTGTTCAAATCCTGATCGTGATCATACAGTTGTATCTACATCGATCAGACAAAATCAGGTCTACATCTATATTGAATTTAGACGTTTGAAGAACAGAAAGTAAAAGCGATCACACTTTGAAAGGGTTGGAGCATTCAAGGAGTGTTGTCTAATCTACCTGCTACTCTTCTACAAATATCAAGCATAAGTCTGAAGTCAAGTTGCTGTTGAACGGGGAGTCGCAAAGCTAGAGGATTATCAGCAATTGGTGTTTGGTACAAACAAAAGGGTGTGAGTCAGAGTCAAAGTTTAGTGTACTTTGTTTCAAGCATAGTGGATTGGTTTACTTTGGACTGCACAATCCATGAGATTTTTCCCACGCAAACAGTTAACATATTTTATCAACAGGGGTTTTCTCGCTAAAAATCCTGGTTTCATCTCTAACTTTTACTTCACTTTATTTTATTTGCATGTGAATAATTGTTTAATTACTAAAATAAAGAAAGTTAGAAAAACACAAGATCTATTTTAAAAATAATCAAAACTTTCTAAAACATTTCGTTGCGTACAACTCACAGAACCCGCCAAAGTTGACTAGTAAATGTATACTTTCTCATCAAAAAAAATATATATATATTTTTTTAGTTGATAAGAGGAAATTAAACAAAAATACATAAACCATAACAAATACTACAAAAATGACGATCAAACCTGCATCGTGTCTCCAATTCTTCCTCCCACTATATTATTGCTCTCTCTCATCTCATTCACAACTCTTTTCCATCTCACCCTAGGTCTCATAAAACTTGATTTCTTCCGAGTACTACGAACATTGTGCACCTTTTCGATATGGCAACATAACATTCACCTTCCCCTTCTTCTCCTCCGACACCTTTGGCAACACCTTCAGCTCTAGTCCCTACAACTGTGGCCTCATGCGCTTACAAATCTCATCCAACCCCACCTCCTCCCTCCCCAGCTTCGACCACTCCGGCCACTTCTATGAGATATAAAATTGTAATTGGCATATTTCGATGAACAAAACGAAGTCCAAATTGAGTTGTAATTTTTCATTTATTTAAGTCTCGGTTTTGGAAATGAAAAATTCAAGTGAAGCTACTCACGACAACTTCGGTTTGACAATGTACAACAACTGGTCAAGGTAAGTGTGTGAGGTTCACTTAGAATAAGTTTGAAGTTGGAGAGAGCACTCAGAGTTTTTCACAAGTGGAACCGGTTGCATTTCATTTAGAATCGGTTGCACATTTTGCTAAGAATAGCTCTTAGGATTTTTTGAACCGGTTCTATTTTCTGCACAAAAACACCACTCGGGAAAAATAGAACCATTTGCATTTTAAATAGAACCGGTTGCACTTTCCTGAACCAAAAAGGAAAGTTTTTATTTTTACCAATTTCTATTACCTTTTAAGTTTGAATTAGAGAGGTTTTAGCATGAAATTCAAGGTATTTTTCAACCCTAATAGGACTCTCTAATTCTCTATATAAACTTACAGTTACATACAATTAATCACGGTATTTGCATTGAAGATTTCAAAACTCTATGGTGTCTTTTTGTGTGAGTTTCAGATTTTTTTACTTTTCTGTTTTTGAGAGCGCACACCTATATACAAGAGTGATTTAGCTTGTTGTTCATTGTTCGATCGAGATTTGCGTGATTGAAGATTTTATATCTACCGGTCGTAAAGGCGAATTTATCTTCAACTTTATAAATTCTGATTTTGAAGAAAAGAATGAGAAGATCACACTTTGAATGGATCAAGACATTCGTGGAGTGTTGGTTGATCTACCAATGATATATCCTTCTACAGAGATCAAGAGTAAGCCTGAGGTCGAGAGCTGTTTGGACGGGAGAGTCGCAAAGTCAGGGATTGTCAGCAATTGGTTTTTGGCAGAACGATATAGGGTATGAGCTTGAGTTAGAGTCGATTGTACTTTACTTTAAACATAGTGGGTCTTTTCGCTCTGGATTTTGCAAGTCATCGAGGATTTTCCCAGCACAATTGGTCTATTAGTCAATCAGGGTTTTCTCACTAAAAATTCAGTGTCACTCTAAACTCGATCGATCACTTTTTTACTTTACTTGCACTTTTTTTTTTTTTTATTTCTTTAAGAGTGTTTAATTTTCTTTTATTTCGATAAATTTAAATTAATAAAAAAATGGGATAAAATAGTAAGTTGAACATATTCACCCCCTTTAGGTTGATTATCGATACTATATTTCACAACCATTCCGCATTGTGCAACTCACAGCTTTTACCATGTCCTTAACCTCTACCATTTAGACATGAGACATAGTACAGTATCATACAGACACGACGATACTATAAATCTAAAAACAAATTGATGATTGGTTGTACATTTATAAACTTAATTGTTGAAATGCATAACCTTTGGTGCAAACCTCAACAATCTGTACAATGCATGAGGGGAGAATTTCCTTGCAAACAAGAAGCAAACACTTGTTGTATATCCATTGTATTCACATTTGCTCTCACTCCTCATCTTCTCCAAGAACTCCATGGTCACATATGTTCTCTTAAACGTAGCCGGATGGATCCCACCTCTCGACCAGTCAACTCGAGTCAAACTTTTGTTTGAATTCTTCTCCCAGAACATCATACTCACAAATGTAGGTAAGTAGTGTTCATCAGCACAACATGAATGCTTGTAATAGTTCTGAAATAATGGAAAATACTTCTTATCAGAGATGACCTCTATGGCAAGGTCTCGATCCATCTCGAACCATTGTGACCCTTTTCTCCATTGTTGAAATTTGATGGTTGGATTCATTTTATGTGTATATCGCCCACGACCAACTGAACTCGGTAGAACTTTGGCCTCTACAAAATTTTTGGTAGAGTTGATAAGGTAAGAGTAAATGGTGGTGAAGTTAAAGAGAGGAATGCATGTTTCGGAGAGAAGAATGAATCGCTGGTTTGGGATGTCAAGAAGAGCATTAGCTAGCAGGCGACGCTCTGCTTCTATCATGTTCATCTTTCCCCATTTGACTCCCTGCATCATATAGTAGAATTGTATAAGATATAGTTCATCAACTAATAAAATCTGACATTCTATATAATTATATATTTATATATATATATGTTGTCACGAGTAACTTCAACTTTGGTTTTATGGTTGTTATACGCAGTGCTATGAAATCAACTTGTTCATGGTGACTTTCTTTGTTAGTTGAACTGTTGTTTCAATTGTAGATTGTCCACCATTTCCAACTTAAGATCAAACGTATGGGTAGATTTTTTTCAAATTATGAGAATGCATAAATGAAGAAGAATCTTCCCCATAAAAGCCTCCACCAATTGCAATGTGACCGACTTATAATGTACGTTTAGAAAGGCAAATGAATCACTTAGAGCTGACTTTTATTTGTTATGGTTATTTTCAAATTTTAATTTGTCACGTCATTCCAAAGACTAAACAATAATGATAAACTCTTTGCAATTTCTTTATAATATGAAAGCTAGCTAAGAGAAACAAAAAAAAAAAAAAAACCATCCCTTAATACTCAGTATATGCTTTACATGAGACAGCCTGCAAAAATCTTTATAATTACACTTCATTTTCTAATTTAATTAATTATTGAAAATAAGATTCAAAGTCAAATTAAAAAAACATTATTACTTTATAATAAACTTGGTGTTTAGCTCTCTCTGACTACTGATGTTTTGTTTTGACAGAAAATACATCATAAAAAATTATTTCCATGATACGTGCACAAGTAAATTGTTTTCCATTCAACAAACTAGCATTAATTATAGTCTATGCAACAAATTAATCATATGATTGTCTAGGAAATTGAATCAATTGATGAAGATGTCATGAAATTATATATGAAAGGACTTACTTTACTGGGAATTCTCCGACCATGGAATACTGAATTTTGAGGCTCTGATTCATTGAAAGATGGATCAGAGTGGACGTAAATTGAGTAGAGCCCTTCATGTCCTTTGAAGAACTTCTCCCACAGCGGGGCTAACAACACCGGTCCTCTAGTCAAGAACATGAAGGCAACCTTTGGAACTCTCTTGACTGGAAATTCTTGAATTCTCGGAGTCATTGAGGCTCTCCATAGCAATTCATCATCCTCCATGTCATGCTTAACACGAGGCGGCTTTACATATTCTTTGGGTCCAATATGAGTGCCATTGTTGGAAGCTCCAGTGGTTGCCGGGATGGATGGTGGTGATGGTGGTGAAGTGGAGAGGGATAATTGAGTAACACGGAGATTAAATAAGTGGTTTTTGAGTATGATACCAAAGTTGAGGCAAAAAGCAAAGAAGATGAAATATGAAAGGAGATTAGCAAAATGAAATGGTGCATTGAAGAGCTTCATAGCTGAGGGCAGTACTGGAAATCCTTTTAGATTGAATGAAATTCAATGTTTCCTTCTCAAAAACACAGAAAATGGTATCTGTATTCACTTCTATATCTCTACAAAACTATATATATCTCCACCCACAATAAAAATTCATAATATATGATATGAAACTAATTATTGATGAAAAACTAACCAAGAATATGTATGTAGATGCACCATATATGGATGGAAATGGAGGTTGAAAAGATGTAGGACGTGCCAAAATAGAAGAAGTCCTCCTGCAGCTATTTGTATATATAAGGTTTGGACCGGGACTCTTAATTTGAAGTTTCAACTTATATTTAAAAATACTGGTTTTGTTATTAAGTTTAATTATAAAAATATGTCATATCTATTGTGTGATTAGGAAAGTGGAAGTTTTTTAATTAGTATACAAACACCACTTTATGAATAAGCACTCGTATGATTGTATCATCTGTGAAAATACGCAGTAAAAGTCTACCTTCTGTGTACGGTGGATGGTCCAAACACGTACACCCCATCTTGGCTGCTAGGACGAAAGGTCAATTCTCTCATTAAAGAAACCAAATACCTTTGTCCAAACACCCCCCAATCCGTGCTTGCCCTGTTCCTAGTTTTTTCTATTTTTAAATAAAAATAATATATAAATTAACTGGAAAATAAAAGTAGCATAAAAGTCAAGAGGTCAACATATTCTTTTTCACATTAAGGTCGAAACTATCATTTTAAGTTCAACTTAATTAATTGTTCCAAGCAAAAAATAAGTAAATAATAAAGTTTGTACAAAAAATCGGATGAGCATTAGTCTGCCCAAATTACAATCCGATGCTAAAAGAATTATTTAGTGTCGTATAAATGTAGGGATTGTTGCTTGTTACAGAATTTTAATTCTTGCATATTCTGTCAGCGTTAAGGCTGAATTTGTCAAATTAGGCTTGGTTATTAATATTTTAAGCTCAACTTAAGTTGTTCCGGGCAAATAAATAAATAAATAAATTCGTTAGAACTACCCAAGTTACAACCCAACCCTAAAAAAAATTATGTAGTATCATATATAGTAGTGCTACATAATTCTAATCCTAGCTAGCATTTCTCTTTCGTGTGGAGTTCAAATTTGTCAAGTTAGACTTTGAGTTACTAATATTTTAAGCTCAACCTAAATTGTTATCGGAAAAAAATATATATATAATAAATAAATAATTAAATTCGATTAGTACAAAAGACGGAATGAGATTTGGCCTACCCACATTATAACCCCAACCCTAAAAGAATGATTAGTGTCATGCATGTATGTTGGGATTGTTGCTTGCTACATAATTAAAAGTTCATATATTTTCCTCTAAGCACGTCACCTTAATTATGTCAAAGATGAAGACCGTCCAAAATTTCAAAAAAAAATGTTATAGTTAGGTGTTGCATCAATTTTCTCCTTCCAGTACACGAATATATACTGAATAATATATATATATATATATATATATATATATATATATATATATATTAATTTTGAGTTGATTAGCAAAACTTTTGCTTTACAGAAACTCTTAAAAAGCATATGCTGCAATTTTGTGGTTTCTGAGTTTTACCAAAATTAACGAGATAAAATTTTCTGGGTTTTGGGGGCAGTTAATCATTTAACCTTTGAATTATTCTTTAAATTTTTCTGGGTTTTTCCGATACGGAGGTTTTGAATACACCAAACATTTTTTTAAAAATAAACTTTTGGTAATTATGAAATTTTCGTAAAATTGAAACAAAATATACACAATTGATCACAAACGGGCAGGGTCAATGTCCTATTGTAGAAAGGACCCAATCCAAGTCTGCTGTCTGCCGTACTGACCCTTGACCCAAAAATTTATTCTTGTCCCTCCTTCATTCACTATCAAAACTCCATCCCGTGTTTTTGACATTTCGGTCGAGTCTGACCGCTTCTATGGGCCTACTAACTCACCAGGCCCATATGCCCCCAACCCATTTTTGTTGTGGGCTTTGACTTATTCAATAATGTTACATCTGTAGTTTGAGATCTACTTTAGTAAAGCTTACAACCCACGAAGCATAGCTCCAGATCGCGGTTCGAAAAAAATCACTATAAACTGATTGATATAAATTGCGTATCATCACGACACACCGATATGACAAACTGATGATTGGGTGTATATTTATAGGCTTAATTGTTGAACTGCATAACCTTTGGTGCAAACCTCAACAATCTGTCCAATGCATGAGTGGAGAATTTACTTGCAAACAAGAAGCAAACCCTAGTTGTATTTCCATTGTACTCACACTTGCTCTCACTCCTCATCTTCTCCAAGAACTCCATGATCACATGTGTTCTGATAAATGTAGCCGGATGGATCCCACCTCTTGACTAGTCAACCCAAGTCAAACTTCTGTTAGAATTCTTCTCCCCAAACTTCATACTCACAAATGTTGGTAGGTAGTGCTCATCAGCACAACCTGCACCCCTGTACTAGTTCTGAAATAATGGAAAAATATTTCTTATCAGAGATGACCTCTACGGCGAGGTCTCGATCCATCTCGAACCATTGTGACCCTTTTCTCCAATGTTCAATTTTGATGTCTGGATTCATTTGATATTTGTATCGCCCACGACCACCCAGTCCCTGTAAGTCTTTGGCCTCTACATAAATTTTGGTGGAGTTGATGAGGTAAGAGTAAATGAGAATCGCTGGTTTGAGATGTTAAGAAGAGAATTAGCTAGTAGGCGACGCTCAGCTTCTATCATGTTCACCTTTCCCCATTCAACTCCCTGCATCATATTGTAGAGTTGTATAAGATATAGTTGATCAACTAATAAAATGTTATCATATATAGTTATAAAATGTGACATAATATAACAAGTGACAAGGTTCGGTTAATTTAAATCCACAAAGTCTGTTGTCTTAAATCCACAAAATAAGAGATAAATTCAAAAAATCTTATATTGTATTGAATATTTGAATGAATAAAAGTGAATTCTGTACTTACTAGTACAGATATTTGTAATAAAAGAAAACCTAACAACATAAATAAACCTAATAGCAAAAGGAAAATAACCCTAAAAGTATAAATTCTTTAAAAATTTCCAAAAAATAGAATAAGAAACCTAATAAAATAAAATACTAAATCTAACATTTGAAAACAATTAGACTTCATTTAAGCCAAATAATTAATAGTCTTCTTAACAAATAAAAACTCCTAAACATAGGTTGAAAAGCAACATAGTCCACAAGTTGGGTGTCATTTCCACCCAAAACAACCATCTTAGTTTGTAAAAAACGGACTTGTTGGTTTGACTGAATTTCTATCCCGCATCTCTCTTAAACATGTATATAAAACTTAGGGAATTCTCCGACAATGAAAGATTGAATTTTGAGGCTCTGATTCATTGAAAGATGGATGAGAGTGGACGTAGATTGAGTAGAGCCCTTCATGCCCCTTGAAGAACTTCTCCCACAATGGCGCTAACAACACTGGCCCCCTTGTCAAGAACATGAAGGCAACCTTTGGAACTCTCTTGAATGGAAATTCTCGAATTCTAGGTGTCATTGAGGCTCTCCATAGCAACTCATCATCCTCCATGTCATGCATAACCCGAGGCGGATTTACGTAATCTTTCAGTCTAACATTAGTGCTATTGTTGGAAGCTCCTCCGATGGTTTCCGAGATGGATGCTGGTGGTGGTGGTGGCTGCAGTGGTGACAGTTGTGATGATTGTGAAGTAGAAACCGAGAATTGGGTGACACAGAGATTGAGTGAGAAGTTTCTGAGATAAAAACTAATGATGATACCAAAGGTGAGACCAAAAGCAAAGATGATGAAATAAGAAAGCAGGTTAGCTAATTGGAGTGGTGCATTGAAAACCTTCATTGTTGAAGGACTTCCAAGGTATCCTGCTTCTGAAAAACCAGAGAAGGGTATGTGGACTTAAATACTTCTATATCACCATATGAACACCACAATATAATATTATATATATATACACACACACACACACACACACACATGTACTAAAACAAATTAATTTTAGTAATATATATTATATGAATTAGTACGTAGTTTAATCTAGTTGAAAAGGAAATTAAGGGAATCATGATATCATTGCGTATGCTGTATATATATATATATGTGTGTCGTCGCTAGCTGATGTATTTTTAGAGGTTGGGTAGGATTAGGACTCCTAATTTGACGAGTCTGACTCGCTTTTAAACAAAACCAACAAAACTCTTCTCAAGGAGAGGAGTCTATGTTGGAATGAACACACTCATTAGGTTTTTAGAAGAAATTTAGATGGAAAAGAATTGTAATCCTTAGATAAAAAGTCCTACTTATAAAAGAAGTATAAGAATTGAAACCCTGTATCAGTTTTGAACAAAACAATAGCAAATCGGAAAAACATAGTCTAAAATTCGTTTAATAACTATTTATAAGAAAATGTTTTATTCTCAAATAACAATAATAAATAAATAAAACCCTAGGCTTTCCGCCACCGCGATTCGAGGTGAGAAATATTAAATGGTGTTGGTGATTTAGTCCAATTTAAATTCTCAAATAAAGAAAAATTGACCCACAAAAATGTATTAATACATTAAAAAAATTTAAACATTAAATTTAATTAGACTGGATCACCAAATAGCATATATATGGGTGCACAATATAAATAATGAACAATATATAAATAAACTACACAACAAATTTGTAATCTTTCATAGGAAAAATGACGATTTAGGCCAATAAACTTGACTGTGAATCAACTTGAGTGTTGAGTAGATATATAAATGTTTATTTTCTGCCTTAATTATTTTTTATAGATATATAGTGAATTATCTTGGGTCGCCCAAGTCTCATGTTGTTTGTATCATGAATTTTTCCACATTTGGAATGACGAAACAAAATTCATATATTGATCCCAATTCCCAACTAATCGATAATAAAAAATTTTAATTGTTAAATAATTGAATTGAGTCTGTATATGGATAGAGATTGAGAAGCCTATATATACTGTAGGAGGGCACTCAATATGAAGAAGGAGAACACACAACTTTATAAAACTCTCAAATATTGATATATTTCTTTTTCACTTTTTGCTTACAAAAGAACTTAAGAACATATATTTATAGGCACTAATACATGACTCTAGAAAGACACAAATTACAAGACAATAAATAAAGCACTAAGTTTAACACAATTGTTTCATCTCCCAATGAGATAGTGCATGTATTCAATATTTGAGTTAGTTCATATATTTGGTTTATTTTTCCAACATATACAGATTAAATAGAACCATAAACTTTAATTTTCTCCAAATTTAGTTAAAACTGTACAATACCAATCCCAAATTGATCCAATTCATTGGCATGTACAGGCTAAGTGACTCTTCCTAAATTGTGAGACACTAGCTAGTGTTTCATCGATCATCTTCTAGCTCACAAGTCTCTGCAAAATTAATCAACATTACAAAAAAAAAAACACTTTGATCGAATTAGGAATTAATTAAACTCAAGCAGAGCCGGGGCTATCCTTAGCAAAGGTTGTAGGGTGCTTGGATGAAACTTCCTAGCAAAAAGAAAGCAAATGGAGTTCGTCCCGCCATTATAAGTGCAGTTAAATCCATGTCTCGGTCTATTTAAGAACTCCTCCGAGACGTCCTTTCTCACAAACATTGTAGGGTGTGAACCACCTCCAGACCAATCAACCCAAGTGATGGTCCTATTTGAGGTCAATTCTGGACACACCTTGGTCACTAGGGTTGGCAAGTAGTGCTCATCCATATAACAAGGAGGGCTGCAATGGTCCCGAAAGACGGGATAGTATGTGATATCGGATACAATCTCAATGGCAAGTTTCCGGTGAACTTCGAACCACTGGGACCCTTTACGCCAATCTGACAATGAAATGGTTGGCCACATTTGCTTGTTGTACCGGCCACGGCCTATTCGTCGTGGATCATCAAAGGAGCTAAGGAAGCTGTGGTTGGAGTTTATGAGGTAGTTGTAGATTGTAATAAAGTTGAATAAAGGAATGCAAGTCTCTGAGAGTAAAACGAATCTCTCGTTAGAGAAGTCTAGGAGGGCATTGGCTAGTAAGCGCCTCTCCGCATCTATCATTGTCATCCTTCCCCATTGCACTGCCTGCAAAAACAATCGGAAAACACAGTCACAGTTTGCTTCCTTTATAACAAGTTTCATTTAATGAGAATAATTAACAATAATAATCTATTATTACAGTAAAGATTTTCAATGGTTAATTTCACTGCTATAATAGTGAAATTTTACAAATAAACGAATACATATACATGAAATTTTACAAGTATATATAATAGTGAGCTTCACCAACTGCACAAAACAACGAAAAATCTTTAACGGAGAGGGTTTTGATTCTTCAGGTAACGGATCAAATTGGGGGATCAGGGATGGCAACTTAAATGAAAATGCATGTGTATACATGTATAATCAAATGTTTTTGAGAGAATAAAATACACAAAATAATTATATATATATATATATATATATATATATATATATATGACTTATCATTTTAATTGTAGGACCATCAAGCCCTCTAAATGAATGAAAATGTAACAAGTTAATTACATACATGTGTAATATTTATAAGAGGACATATCCTAATTAACCTTGCTTGGTATTCTTCTCTTATAGAACACTGATGATTCTGAGGGCTTGGTAGTGAATTGGGGTGAAGTATGGAGGTATATTGAGAACAACCCTTCATGTCCCTTGAAAAACTTCTCCCAAAGTGGTGCCAGTGGCAATGTGCCTCTGGTTAAGAACATGAAAGCCACCTTTGGAGTCCGGTTGTATGGGTACTCCGGTGTATGGGGCGACATGGAGGCTCGCCACATTAGCTCTTCATCGGTCATTGAGTGCCAAAGATCTTTAGGAGATATCCAATCTCTGAACTCATTGTTTGTAGTCGAAGAATTGAATGGTGGCATGGAAAGAGAGGAAGATGATGAAGAGTTGCGCGGGAAATTGGATGAGGAAGATAATGTGTTGAGTTGAGGGAAATATAGTTCTTCCGAGGCCATGTAATTCTTAACACGATGATTCATGAATATTCCAAGAAGAAACACAAAGAATGCCATGGATAAACAGAAAATTATGGTGGTTGCAATTTGAAAACTCCCTTCTCTGATCTCTCTGCTAATGCGTAAAGAGAATTCTCTTACAAATACAGTAATCTGACACCACTTCATCTCTCTCTGGCTAAGCTTATATTTTAACTATGAGAGAGTCAGAAATTTGTATCCCAATATAAACTACTTTCAAAACAACTCCATATATATATGGACCTTTTGTAACTGTAAAGTGATACAATTAAGGACACATATATGAGAAGTACTGTGGTAAAAATGGACACACACGAGAGAAGTGGAGGAGAGGCTTGAGAATCATGTGCTTGGTTCACAGAAAGCATGCAGCTGGTAATCTTTATAGGAGGTGTTCCACGCTATATATACATGGCCTTGGTGAATCTAATATTAAGCAGTATAATCGATCCATAGAATTAATGTATTGAATCAAAAAAATTAAATTCTTCCAACTTTTTACATGGATTATCACAATGTACTTGGAAGCTTCCCTCTAATGGATTTGATAATTGATCTGAGCAGAGTATCTGGGGATGACGAGGATTTCTAAGGATAGGAGGCGCATATATATATATATATATATATAGAGAGAGAGAGAGAGAGAGAGAGAGTAGTGATATCTTGGGAGCAAGAAAATTTAACCACACTTTCTATAGTGATCATTAGATCTAATCTAACAATCACTATTACTATTTCTAGTTTCTAAATTTAATATTTACTAATATCACTAATTACAACAATAAGAGGTACTTACTAAAAAAAAAATAACCTATTCACCTTTAGAAATTACGTCTCTCTCAAACAACAAAGAACTACAAGAGATGCATAGAAAAGAGGTTTTAAATTTTATGCGGGTGAAGTGATGTGCAAATCATAGGTTACTTGATGATTTGCACATCACCTCTTTTTTAATCCATTAAATTTTATGCAAGTAAAGTGTTGCGCAAATCATAGGTTACTTGAGTTGATCAAGTAGAAAGAATAAAAATAAAAAAAAAAAAAATTATTTTAATTTTTTGGAGTCGATGTTTCATGATATGTCATTAGTTTAATTTTCCTGCTGTGAATAGGTTGATGGATATATGATTAGGTCTATAATTTGTCATGAAATTGCTAAACAGGTATATTAGTTTAATTTAATTTCCTGCTGTGAATATGTTGATGGATGTAATTTGTCATAAAATTGATTAAGGGAAAACTACATTTAAGTAGAGTTAGGGGTTCTAAATTATAAAGTGGTCTATTTTTAAAGTTTAGTTTTCACTTTGATCGAATTAGGAAAAATAATTACATATAGATTAATAATTATTATTTAGATCTAAAATATCCTTAAACTCTTATTGTAAAATACTAAATTGTCTTTCTAAAATAATATAATCTCTCCACTCAATGAATTGATTTCTGTACGACTAAAGGGTTGAAGGGGAAGGTTTGCACGAGTGAAGAAAATCCAAGAGATCATACAGGATGAAATCAAATTCATTTGCAATAAGATACAAAGCCTGATTTAATTTACACAGTATACTCTATATCCATATATATATATATATATATATATATTTAATTTACATGTTTATACATATAATTTTAGGTCTTCTCTATCTATAGAATAATCTTTTCGTTTTCTAAAGCAAGAGGCTTTGTTTATAAAGATGGTAATTTAAGATGTATATGTTGTGTGTATTTACGGAAAATTTTTGTGCAAATCAGATGTTTGATTAAATGCCCAATTGAAGAAACTAAACATTCTTTAAAATCATTAAATCTTATTAAGAGAATATGACTTATTGGTGCATGCAATTAAGATGTATATGTTGTGTGTACTGGAGGAGAAATTGTGTGCAATTTCTTATTAAGAATCATTGGAGGAGAAATTGTGTGAAATTCTTTGAAATCATTAAATCTTATTAAGAATCATTTTTGTAGTTGTATGGAATGGTCAATGATTGGTATCCCATGTGCACATGCATGTTATGCTATAGAGGCATACTCTCTTAATATATCTGTGAGATATTATTTTATATTTGGTAATTATCATAAATAAAACAAGTCCAAGTCAAGTTGTAATTCGAATTACTTGTAATGCAAGTTATCAAGATCGACGGCGACTACGGAATTGGAAAGGTTATTCAAAGTTACCACAATTGAGATAATTCGAAATAAGGTAAGAACAACACATTAGGAAGGATCCTAAATAGGGTAGGATACATTCTACACTTTTCATATTTTTTAGAACTTACCGTACAATGTTTTTAGGCTGAATGAACCAAAATTCAAGTTCTGGCCAACTTGAACCGATTCAGCCCCTCTGAACCGGTTCAAGGCCGCTTCAAGTTGGTTTCAAATTCACCAACTGCCAAACTTAACGCAATTCAGCCTTTCTGAACCGGTTCAAGGTGTCCTGGTTAGTTTCCAACTTTCAGTTTCCTGTTTCAGAATTATTTCCTAGTTGGTCTAGAATTATACCAAATCTTATGCACGAATTTTTCCATATTTTTAGAGGAATTAGGTCATTCTAAACTCTATATAAACCTTATCATACATGATGAGCGCTGAATATATGCATATTCGAGCCCCTAAATATACGTATGTTAAGGCCTAAAGTGATACTTCTATCCATAGTTAGACTGATTTATGTTTAATGTGTGTTTACAGGTACTTTCCCAGAGAAATAGTTAAAACCGGGACTTTATGATGATATCGAAGCTTACAGAGTCGTTGCCGGTCATTCAGAGCAAGCCGAGAGCTTAAATGGTGAAGTTTAAAGAAATTTAAGCCCCAAAGCTCGAGCCCAAGTGTTGAGGCTCGAGCATCACAACAAAGAAAAAGAAAAGTCAATAAGGCATTGAAGCTCGAGCCTTGTACCATAGTGCTCGAGCCTTACCTAAGGGTGCTCGAGCCTTGACCCTCAAGCTTGAGCATAAGGCGTCGTAAGTTGAAGAGTTGATTTTCATTGAAAGGCTATGCTCTCAGGTCTCGTGCCCCACTTTCAGGATCGAGCACTATCCATTGAAGCTCGAGCCTGGAGTCCCAAATGCTCAAGCCTGGTACCTAGTGCTCAAGCCCATGAAGCTTGGATCGAGCAATGTTAAAAGATTTCAATTCCAAAAATATTCTAAGTGTTAAAGAAAAAAACGCTTCGGAAAATAATTTTAAAAAATTGGCTAAGTGCGAAAGTGAAAATCAAGCACCAATTCTTGAAGCTCGAGCATCAATCTAAAGAAGCTCGAGCCTTATTCCTAAAGCTCGAGCCTGAACCTTAAAGCTCGAGCCTCTGTTCCTAAAGCTCGAGCCTTCCATGACATGTTAGATTTAAAGTACGGGATTGCTCTCTTTATCAGCCGTATCTCATCCCAGATGGACCAGAAGACCTAAAAGCATACCAGATCATTATTTTCTTCTATAAAAGAAGGCGTAAGCCTTGGTAGAAGAGGTACGAAATTTCAAGTTCTTTTTACGGTGTGATTCAGAAGGCTGGTAGCGTGGTGACTTTTAGGGTTCCTATAACCTTGAAAGTGAAGGTCCTGAGAAGAGAAGTGTCGTCCGTGACGATGGAAACACCTCCAACACAGATGACATCCGACATTGTCATGAGTAGCTAATTCCTCTCTTAGGACCCTGATGTAACCTAATCTAGTATTATGGTTTGATTGTTTTAACTCTGGGATTTTATTTTATTATGTTTACTTTATTATATGACTATGAGCAATTGAGACAACTCAATTGGTTTTCATACTTTAGTAGATTATAAATTGTTATTTCCTTGTCTTAGATGTAATGGTTTATTGTTTATTCTCAACCTATCTTGTTGTGCGGTATCTGGCAAAGCCCTGCCGGACACAAGAATAGAGGTCATATAATGGTATTCTAATATTTTTGCAAAAGAATGTTTTCATAGTCTATGCTTAGGAAATGTGGATTGTTTACAAAGTAGTTAGAGTAGGTAGGTGGACAGTCCGCGCTAACCGCAGATAGGTTATAGTTAACTGAATTTTGTAGAACATCTTTCTTTAAAACCCAAATTAAACGAATATTATTGAGTTCAATTCATTTGAAAAACATAATTGTTAAATCTCCAGAGTACGTTGGTATAATTAACCATAGTATGATGATTGTGGTGTAGTCCAAGCCCTAAGATCTCTCTCTCTGATTGTTTAATTCATTCTAGTTTAATATTTTTTTTTACTTTTAGTTTGCATAATCGAGACAACCAACCAATTTTTCAACCAGTTACCTGTAAACCATAAATTGAAATTAAAGACTGAATACAAATCTCATCTCCCTGTGGGTTCGACACCTCTTTTTATAGCATTATTCTACACGAAATCGTCCTATTGCGAGTGGTAAAATTAGACACGATCAATTTTTGGCGCCGTTGTCGAGGAGATTAGTTTTTTATTTAGTTTTTAATTAGTTTATTTTGGTTTACCAATCTTCGAACTTTCTGATATCTTACCTTAATTCTTTTTCTTTTCAGGTATAAATTAGCAGTGAGGACAAAGACGCTTAAGGAATAAAACGCTTAGGTTTATTAAACCTTTTGTGAGTTCTTATTGTTTTCTGCTACTTGGAATATTTTATTGTTACTACTATTAGGATTAGTGGAACCAATGTATGTTCACTCGCCATAATCGGGTAACACCTTTAGTGCATGATCCTGAAATAGAGAGAACTCTTTCCTCTGATAATATGGCTGATCAACATAACACACCGGGTAATAATGGAAATGGTAATGGAGAACGGGATCCACCTGTTCTTCCACAACAACAATTGAGGGACCATTTTATTCCTATCACATACACTTCCCCTTCGTGCTTTGTTTTTCTGGACACTGATGCAACCCATTTTGAGATCAAGCCTGATATGATCCAAATGCTTCCTACCTTCCATGAGTATACAACAGAGGATCCTTATAAGCACTTGGATATGTTTTTGGAATTGTGTTCAACTACTAAGTTGACCACTCTTATCAATGATTCATTCAGATTGCATCTTTTCCAATTCTCTCTCAATGACAAAGCAAAAACTTGGTTGCAGTCCCTTCCAACAAATTTTATATCTACATCGGACATGTTGCAGCAGGAGTTCTTGAAGAAATACTACAC